ATTGTCCATCTTCCGTCGGAAATTCGACAATATTGTCGAATTGCCAGTCGAATTTCGAAAAATTTTGAAATTACACTGGAAAATGGACACTGTCGAAATTCCGTTGGCGAAATTCTTATTGACGAAATTCCACGAAACCAGATATTACGTCTCATTCGAATGTATATTCATGCATTGATTCTTTTCTATCCGATCTATCTGTAAATATTTGAAGGATACAAAACATGTGTGAAACACTACATGTTAAAAGCGACAACGAAAAAAGAAAAGAAAGAGAAAGCACACAATCATGCAAGCAGGTATAAGTGTGTTTGTCATGAAAAGAACGAAATTTACTAAATATATGAGCACGATTTGACCTCGTTTCGTCAAAAAATTAAGAATTTGTAAACTTAATAGAGAATTTTTACGAAACGTTATAAACAGTTCTTTTACAGTCGTCATCTAGACTTGATGGAAGAATAAATAGCTTTTTTTAACATTTAATATTTCCTATTTGTTGATTTTATGTTTGTTTACTTATAAGATTGCACATTTACAGATCTACTGTCGTTAACTTAGTGATTTATTGGATATATCAACAAAATTATCATTACCTAACTGTTCAATATTTCCTTGTGATCTATGATATTTTCTTGAAAGATCATGAAAATATCAATATAGACGAAAATAGAGTTAGTTGTTTTCTTGGCCTTGCCAATTTTTTAAAGAACAATTTGATGATATTATTTGTATTAAGAGAATTATCACCGATGGAAATACAAAATTCGTGAAGCAATTACTCCATAATCTTCATAGAAATTGGTTACAAACTAACAAATTGGATAGCTGAATATTTGAAACAAACAAAAGGCATCTCTGCTTGACCGTTATCAGTGGTCACTTTTTCAGCTCATTTTATCTTACTTAGTATCTCTTATTCATAAAAGTTTATTTAACAAATATGTCATTTTTTACAAGTTAATTGAACGAAATCATTGGAAGTACATTTGATCAATTAATTATGTTGTTCCTTCGATTCTTTTCTCAGATCACTTTCAACAACAAATTAAGTATACATTATAAAAAGTACAATAGGAAAAAAACAATTTCTAAAGCTCAATTCGATTCAATTGTCGTATCTGAGCAAGTATAATTCGAAAATTTCACAAATCATTGAAAATACAGTTTTCAGGCATTTCTGACATTTTTAATCGTATTTTCTCCAATAGGGAAATAGTGTTACATAGAGCGATCAAATCTCTCTAGAAAATCTAACTTAAATCAAGAATACTACTTAATACAAATATACTATTATTCAAGCGAAAAATAAAAAAAACTGAGGTATTCCTAAGTATGTATAAAAATAAATCTGAATACTATGTATCAACATATTGAGTTAATAAAAATTGTGTTTGTTTTAGAAATTTTTATCTAATTGAAAATATAAAAAGTAAATATATTTACAAATATAATGTAATATTTAGAAAGGCCGTCACAGATCGTGCAAGACGTTATAACATTTAAATTGCTTCTTTATGGAGTTTCTAGGAGACTAAGCAAAACGATGGTGAAGAAGCGTGTACTTCTTCATAGCCAACGTGAACAACGAGGTCTTCTGTTATGTTTCGTCGCTGTTTCAATATATCCGAGTTTCCGTTAAATTTTCTCCTCGAATATTAAGATCGATATATGAATATGCGTGTAGATATATAATGTTATTTAGTGGTGGTTGCTCTGCACATCCACGCCTTGCTCGAATCTTTTATTTTTGAACATAAATTTGGCTATGAATCTGATAATAATATTGAACATGAGAATCAAAGTGATTTACGAGTAATAATTGTGTTTTAGTTTCTTAAAATTTATGCCAGTGTTAGATTTATTATTTGATGAGTCTTCAAAAATTTCTATACAACATATTATACAAATCTATCCCTTGATGGAAATATTCACTGTGACTATTTTGTGTAATACTAATGGAAATTAGTATTGTTCGTTTGAAAGAAATAGAATTGCGCTCTTTCCTAATCATTACTAAAATTAAGCAATGAAATTTAGTGTGAAATTGAAAGACATTGATATATTCAAACGATTATCTCATCATTCTCGACGCAAACTATCAAATCATGATGTACCAATTATAATAAATGAAGTAAAACCTGTTAAGAAAAAATTTCGTTTTTCTCCTATAAAAAAACTAATATGGCATAAGAAAAAAGATAGATCAATTATTAAATTACCATTAATTACTCGTTTACCATCACCACATATTGAAGAACTTGAAAATGAATTTATGAATGCATTGAAAAAAATGTATAACAATTTAGAAACACCAAACTATGAAAAAGAAAAACATTCTACTGTAGTCGATTTTTTCCATCTAAATAATACTTTAAAAGAAACGATTGATGAATGTAATCAATATCAAACGATGTTTCATGCTAGTAAACGATTATTGATAACTCGATCAGTCGATGATTTCGTTAGAATATCAGTAAACCCTTATTTCTATTCATCATTAAGTTCTCAATTTGTTCATCAATCGTGTTTAAAAAATAAATTAAGACGATCGAATTACTCAGATAAATCATTAACTCATATTTCAAAATGTCAAAGTATAGAAACAACTGATTCTTCAATAAAATTACTTTTAGAATTAACTAATACATCAAAAATATCGATTAAATCTGAATCATGTTTAGTAAAACAAAATTTTCCTATTGATCATAAATTATCATTACAATCGAATGAAAATTCTTCAAAATTAACGTCAAAACATTATCAACAACAAGAAACAGCAGCTATTATCGAAATTGAACATCAATCATATAGTTCAATATCATCATCAATTGATTATAATAAACCTCTTGAAAAATCATATTCATCTCCATTACCTATTAATACAAATCATTTATTTATTAAGAAGAAAAATATTCAAAGTGCGCATATTATTGATCAACATCAATATGAAAATAAGAATGAAATAACTTTATATTCGTGTATTAGTGGAATAGGAAATGATGAATCCATGAAAAGTATCAGTTCTGATGACGAAAATATTAAACGTAATCTTTTTCAATATCAAGATAATATCAATAAGAAAAACATTCGACATAGATGGAGTTTATTTGATATCTGGGAGACAACAATAGCTAAGTTACCATCTATTTTAAACTGTATTTGGCGACAACGATTATATCGCACTGGATCAAGAGAATTTCGTAAGATTTATTTGTTCGTAGATGAATCATTTTAGGCAAAAAAATGACATATTCCCTTTTCATTCAACTTCGATTCTTAATTTCTTCTGAAACAAATGGTTTTCTGTAGGCTCTATCAAGTTCCGAAACAAATACTTTTTGTCTCGGAATCATTTAAAGATTCTGACAAAGGATTTGTATCGTTTGGAGTCGATTTTGAACTTCTCATTCGGTTATAAGAGTATCTTTTTGCTTGTATATTCGTATTTTGTTACGTCACTAACTCTAGTTTTTCACTGGTAACTCTTTTTCACAAAGGTCTCTAGTATTGATTTCTTTTAGGTGTGTAGAATAACTTAACATACATGTGACATTTTAAAATTAGCTCTAGGAAAGCTCATTATCCCGAAATAGCCATCGCAGATTGTGACAAACATTGTTGGTAATCGATCAAAGACCGTATATCAACAAAGTCTTGTGATAATATATGAACTACTATCTTATTTCATTTCTGAAACATCAAATAAAAGGATAGTGAAGAACACAAGAATCGTGACAACAGCTTTTTATCAAATTTTTTAAAAACTACTAGTTTTGTTTTGCAGTACTTGAATATGATCAAACATTACCCACAAACTATAATAATAATCGAGCCAATATTATGCAAGAACAACGTTATGTTGAACAAGAACGTCCAATTCATACTCATTTTGGAATTGCTCTGCTTGCCTTGTTAATATTTCCACCTGTTGGTAAGAATATGGATGATGAAAGTCAAATAATTTATTACTTATCAAGAATTCTTCTAGACGAAAATATAATCATTTTGAATATAAAATGAATCTGTTTGCAGCAATGATATATAGTGATGCCTGCTCGAGTATAATTCATATACCAAAATCATAACACAAAGATGACATAGTATTATCATGTATTCTCTGAAAATATTTGCAAACAATCATGAAAGTCGAAAATCTAAAACTACTATCATTCGTAACATCTTTATCTTGCACACCCTCTTACTTAATTGTGATGATGATAGTTGTCTATTATAACTCGAATTAATTAATATTTTTTAGATAAAGATCAATGTCAACACTTTTAAACTGTAGTTCACATCTGTTAAGAAAAACACGATTTTGTTCGAATATTTACAGAGTAGGTCTCGAATTTGGATCACTTTATGACATCCTGGTTCTGTTTAGAATGGCATAGTTAAAAGTATATTTCTTGTACAAAAAGGATTTCTACAAGATGGAACTCCACAACCACTGCGATCATTTTTTAGAACACTAAAAATGTTTATTATTATAGCTATCATCAATTGAATAAAATCGGACAATTTTATGCTTGAAAAACCAGCCTGAGGGATAAGTCGAATTACGGATTCAACCGAAATACTAAGACGTGTTCATGGGTACTCCAATTTCTTGAAGACTACCATTTATTAACATAAGCTTTCATGTATAAAATGCCTTCTGATCAGTTACAAAGAGTCAGATTGGTTGCTATTTTATAGCTACACAGTAAACACTATTTCAATTCAGTAAAACCTATGCTACTTGATGCAATTCATAGTATGCTCGGCCCTGTTTGTAGATGAAGAATACTATTAAACCGAATAAATGTTCTACTTTTATTTATTGACTAAATAAAACTTCAAACACATTTGCATAACAAAGATTTCTGATTATTACCAATTGCTAGATATAAAACTCATATAAGAAATTTTGATGAAAAATCGGAATAAAATCAATTACAATAGCGCTATTTAATTCTGATTGAAATCTGATTTTTTCATTGTAAACATAGATTTTGATTGATTCAAATTGTTTCTTAAAATCAATCAAAAAAGGTTAAAATCAAATGAAATCTATAGTCAAAATTGAAAAATCAGATTTTTCTCTGTTTTCTTATGTGAAAGATCTTTCTTGAAAAGAAATATAAAGTTCGGGCTAGGCGGCTCATTTCAAGCCCTATTACAGAACATAATCAATCTTTTCTGTTTAGCTGCTAAACTTTTCTCTATCTTTTAGGTATATTAGCTATTATTCTAAGTATATGGTCATTATGTGGAAAGCAAGATAGGCATTTATCTCGAAAATTTGGTAATGCTGCTTATTGGATTTCTATATTAGCTATTTGTTTTTCATTTCTGTTGCTTTTTACTCTATTTACATATTTCACCTATCAATACATAATTAATCGACCGATTATAATCAATCAATATTACACTACTCATTGGACACGACATTCAATAACACATGATATTGACTATGTTTGAATTTATGGAACATATCATTTTTCAAATAGAAAAATAACGTTTTTACAATTGATTTATCGTATAAAAGTTCCATGCTTCATAAATAAATTTTGTAGATGTTCAAAATATGTGAATTAAAATCAAATAATTCACTTCAATATAAGTTTCTGTCACATTTTCAATGGTTTATAAAATTAAAGTGATGGCATCTTTATAGACAATGAAATCGTTTCAGTAGCAATTTTTTATTATTAAACATTGGCTCAGATATCTATTTAATATCATATAATCTTTTGCCATTCGTTGATTAAATCAAATTTAAAGACTTGTTCATCAAAACGGTTTTATGAAACATGTTGTCGATAAAAACAATTGAGTACATTTTTGTATCTTACTTAAAGGTTCCTAACATAAACATAAATCTTTTATTAAGAAAGCAACATCTATGCCTCCAAAGCGTGTGGATGTGGATAGAATAGAAGCCTCGTCCTCTCGCACATTTACATCCTCATCATGATGTTGTTTGATTCCATTAATTTAAAAGGTTTTTGTTGTGATTTTTTGTAAAAGACGATATCAGAAAAACTAATCCTGTTCTAATAAAATTTTCTTTTGTTCTTATTAGATTTATTTCTATAGGAGATAAGTCCTCAACATAAAGAATTTAAATATCTGACAAACTGTGTTTAAATTACAGCGTTATGTACGTCGCAGTACGATGACATTCAAAAAAATAAAATTGAAGATGAGAGACATTTTCAACAGTAGGACCATTCCTCAAAAACATTTTTTAAAGCATGTTTTAGATTGTATTTTTTTTTGTCTATATTGATATTGCCATGATCTTTCAACAAATATCATCGACCAAGACGAAGTCGATTTGTCCACATAACGCGACACTTTATCAATTAATCATTTATTTCAAAATTCGAAATAAACGTTTATGCCATGTTCTAGAGTAGATTCGAAAGTGAAAGAAAATGTATTTTATTATTCGAAATGTTAGTTCTGTGAGCCAATAAAACAGTATATACCAAGCATTAATTACAATCTTGTCCGTTGCAATTGTTGCTCTCTTACTTAAAAAGTAACCATGCCATCTTAATATCTAACTTCGAATCCCGGGTAACAAATGTTATGTAAACAATCAAGTATGGCTTTTCTTTTGGCACAAGATTAAACTAATTTCGTTTTTCTCCTCATTAAGATATTGTCAAAATAATGCTTGATAAATATAGCTGTATCGTGCTGCGAAAAGACATTGTTTTAAAAATTTTGGTGAACCATTTTCGGAATATTAGTAAAGAAACTAGTAGACTATAATTAACGTTTGATGGCGATTCTGATTCGCTATTTTGTTTTCTCGAAAAAAATTAATTGCATCATGAGGTGTATAAATGTAATACTGTTACGAAAGCCTTATTGTTGGTACAATATTCAGTTTATCTAATTGAGCAATAAGTTCAATATAATAAGTGTGAAATAGCAACTGTATAGAATTCCAACCTGGTTTTGTTCTTTGGTTTATGTATCTAGCGACGAATGTCTTTGAAAGTCTGTAGTTTTTGCTTAGTTTCCGATTTTTCTGGTTATGATTAACTTTAACCATAGTACTCCGTCAACACAACACGCTAGAAAAGAAAAAGTACAACAGCGTTATGTGTGGTCACGCCGAAATATTGAATAGTCGAGTGATGAAAATTCTTCTGACATATCCAGGAAATGAACGCGTTAACGACAATAGATCTGTAAACATACGATGTTATAAATAAATAAATATAAAATGAACAATAGGAAAAATATGAGAAACGATTTCTAATAATTGATTTCAATGTTTTATCGCTGAGCTCTGTCAAATAGAAATTCCCTAATACATTTTATATTCATTAAAAAATCATGATTATCAGAAACATTAAAAAAACCTATTTATTCTTCATTCAGGTGTGGATAATGACTCTAATTGAACAATTTTTACTGTTTCACAAAAACTCTCTATAAAGTTTATAAATTTTTAATTTTTAATATGACTCAAGAAAAAAAAACATATTCTTCTTATTGAAAAAATAATTTTCATTACCAAATCCAAATCAGACTACGATTTTTATTCTGAAATGTTGGTATCTTCTCGTCTCATCGATACCTTCTTAAGTAGTTCGTTTTTCCAATAGATTTTTTTTCTAAACCATTTCAGAATTTGACTGAAGACACTCTTGTCTCGGAGAATGAAAAAAATTAAACATAGATAACACTATTAAACTATTTATGCTCTAGACAATGTGTTTTCTAATACAATTATTCAAAGTTGCAATTTTCGTAACAACCTATGTATATTTAACACAATCAGCAAAGTTTGAAAAGTTTCGTTCAATTATATCGCGTGTTAGCATTGATACTTGTTTCTAAAATAAATAAGTTATTATGTAAATTTATGGGCGAATTCAACCATGTACCATGTTTATAAGATTTCTTCAATTACAACATAAAAACTTCGATTGATAATGGATGTTTATTTCTAAGAGAACTATAGAATTATTACAATTTTAATAATTTCTTAACAAAAATGGATTGAACGGTTAATATCATTGGCTTAATGCAAATATTATCAATTGTAATCCAAACTAATATTTAGTTATTCATCAACTTAGAAAAATTGATGATATCAACATGCACAAACCTTCACGAAATAAAATAAATATTTCAACAAGATTATATAAACAATTCGTAAAAAATAAAATAATATTTTGTTATCTTTATCTTAGGAACTATTCAATTAACAATGTTCTCACTTCTATT